CAACAAACGGCGCATTAGCCAATCAGCATTAGGGCAAAAACAATTCGAACAAATAAACGAATGTCAAACGGTAAAAATAGACTTGTAAAAGTAAACACTGCAGTTAATGGCTTCCTGAATCTTTCTTTTGATTGGACGAGCTTAAGTTGAATAGATTTTTCTTTTTGTTCTGCAATGTGATTGGTTAGTGTTCTCTAAGTGGCCCCACTTACAGTAGACGCACTGTAAATCGTTGATATTTCGCCGCCATATTGGATTTTTGTTGTTTTGATCATTTCCCGCTCCCTAATTGCACTCCTATTAACCAATCAGATTGCAGTAATTTTGTCATCTACCTGTATAATTCGCCAAAGGCGAGGTGATCACGATTGACGATAAAAGTGGAAAAATTGTTTTAGTATAATTTCATAGGTGATTATTTGGAGGAAAAAATACAATTTCTTCGTCAATTAATTGACAAAACGGCTTCGGCTATCACTCCGAAAATCGCTTACTAGGTGATTACCGCGTTATAATCACCTCAACGGTAACCAATCAGCGTGAAGAATTTATTTTTGAATAATCACCTGTGTAGTTATACTAATTCTAATTAACATCAATTTTGTCTATTCACTCCCTAAGTATTCACTTTTGGTTTTAATAGCACTTTTTAATTAGCAGTTGTAACTTTCTTCTAAATTATCTTTCTTTTCAGCATGCGTCTCAGCGTCTGTCTCAATAATTCTGTGGTAGTCAACCTTGTTCCCAGGGCTTTTCCCTTTTTGTCATCGGGAAGGCGGGAAATACCAAATGGCAACTCAACAGCTTTGACGGATGGCAAAGGGAGGCTTCCCTATTGCTCAACATGTCGTTGCTTATTTGTACATCGACTTGGTATGTTATGTTAAGATTACCATAGAGACTTAGAGTAACAAAGAGAACGAAAAGAACAATACACAATAGTAGCAAAAACAACATTTACAAAACCAAAAACAGAAAAGAACATTTATGGATAAACCTAAAACTAGTAAATAAACCAAAATTGTATTCAGTATAAACAATGAATATACTCTCATTTACACAAAAATGTTTCGCATTTACAATTACAATATGTACATATATACTGATGGTTACTGATATAACCTATATTTCACCCATGCCCTGGGCTAGCTCGTAGTTTCACCCTCCCCCCTTCCTCATACGTATCGAAATATACAATCAGTTCCACCCCCCAGCCCGCTAACACACACTTTAGGCATGTACGGATCTTAATATTGCATAGCAGTGTTATCAAGATCATGAAGCATGTAGTTTAGTTGTTGACAGGGCCGGCAATAAGTCGCGTTTCTCTCCACGAAAATTCTGTCACATCGCGCACAAAGTCTTCGCGAGTTTAGCATAGCTTCATTATTCAACCGTCGTACATCTTCGGCAGTTTCCGAATACCGTGACGTCTCCGGAACGTTGAAGCGTTGAAGCAAGCTACCTTTCTGGTTAGTTCTGGAAGGACTGTAAGGCGGAGGCTCTATATAAACTGGAGTATTCCAGGACCTACGATTGTCTCTAACCTCCACAGTACTGCGGGGGCGGTAATTCGGGGGAGGTAAAGAGGTACGTTGAGGGCCATTTGAGTTCATTTGGGGATCCTTACTAGGACTCAGTTCCATATTATCGTAAATAGAGCAACGTCGAATGTCAGTATTTCGTAAATTTCTCGAGTTAGGCAATACTGTGCTAGTCTGTAACATTTGCTCAACCGGAAGACTGCGTACGGGGATAAACGATGTTGATACGTGCGTTACCGTCGTATTCCGATCTTGCGGCGCTAAATTCAATCGTTCAAAATCATTATTCAGACCGTTTGTCTTGCCATAATGCACAGGGCTATAGCACAACACATCTGGTTTAATTTTCTGTGTACAGTATACATCGTCACGTGAATTTCCGAGAGTTCCCGAGTGGTAACTGCGAGAGCTAGTTCTTCGAGCAGTCGAAGGCGATTCTGGAGCATTTGAGTGATTATTGAGGTACAGATCGTTAATTGATCGGCTTGACATCGGAAGAACTTCGTCAACTTGTACACGGTCTTTTACAGTAGATCTTGGTAGGGTGCCCTGCGGAATAAAACACTTATGTTAATAGTCAGAGCGATTCGCGAAGGACAAAGCCATATACAGTATTTATGCGCACGAGGTAACTGCTCACATTAACTGGATTCGTACATGTCTGAACAAAGAATGACTTTCTACGATATATTTTAGCAAATCTGAGAATGGTTGAACGAATGCTATAGAAATGCTTAAACTCTCACCTGTCTGGAGTCGAGGTAGATAGCCTGTGAAAGAGGGGTCGCCTGTGGTCGAGGGCATAATACCTCCCTCTCCTGCCTTCCATCTCTGCCTCTCCCTCCCTCCATCCCTCTCCCTCCCTCCCTCTCCCTCCCTCCTTCGCTCACTCCTTTGCTCCCTCTGCCTACAAAACACAACTTACGTGCACGGCAGGTGTTTGCTTCATTTCCCTCAGAACTTGTTGATCTCTTTCTCTCTGATTGTTAATCAGTTTCTGTTTTTGTTGTTGTGAGAATGCCAATGTCGTTGCATTATTATTTCTCTCACTAATTTGACGATGTAGATTTCGGGATCTCTCTAAACATATACTGTGCTTGTTCCTCAAGTTTGCTAGATATGTTGAACTCTTATCGGGCGGACAGTTTTCTATGACGATGCGAAATCGAGCTAAAAATAATAATATTGAATATTGAAGTTACTAATCATAATAATCAGAATATTAAGAAGAAGAATCAGAATATTTAAGTACAAATGTTGAAATAACGGTCTGAAATTTTCCGATTAAATTAGAGGTTTTTTTTCAAATACTAAATTGGATTAAGAAATTGGTAAACCAGAAGCTACGTAAGATCAACCCGCAAAACACATATTAACAAAACCGTCGATGCAGCCTCTGGTCTGAAAAAATGTGCCTTGTTTCAGTGCCAAAACATTCAGGAATGGGACTACATTCCTACGCCTATTACTGCTAAAATGTCATTATGCAAAAATGTCATTATGCGACTACATTCCTACGCCTATTACTTTCACATTGTTTTAATTGTCTGCATTGGTTAACGAGAATTAGATGCCACCCAAAAATTGCGGATATTCGTCATCGTGAGAAAGACGAACTTAGTCGAATTTTGACACGAAAACATTTTTTGGTAATATGTATGATTATTTACAGCTTGGTTTACAGTTTGGTTTATACCCAAGTGTGCAGAACATTTTTGTCATGCTTGTAGTTTCCACTTACTTGCAGCATTTGTTGCCAGAGAGAGCGACAACGCTAAATCTCCTTTCTCTAACTCATGTGATCTTCGTAAGAGACTTTCAGCCTCGTTAATCATGTTGTCCAATCTCATTTGAACTTCGTTGGCTAAAAGAGAAAAACGAACAGCTTGTTAAAGTTCCACAATCAGGATTGTTTTTATCCACCAGAAATGATTGGAAACCATTTCTCTGCAAAGTCAATTATGTACGTTCCATTTTAGAGCAAGCAATAAAGACACAATCACTAGAAAAAATTCTCGATGTAACACACTACAAGGGTCGTTGCTCTGTTGCCATGATTTAATCATGGGATTCCACCGATGCACAGAACGCAAGTTCAGCCAACCTTGATTGGGAAGGGGTGGTCTGTTCGTATATAGCAGAACCTTGGTATCAAGTGGTTACATATGGCGAATTTCTGGTGCTGGCCAGGCAGGATAATTCAAACACAAAATTCCCTTCCCGCCTGGCCGGGATCTTAAGAGACCCTTACAGTAGTTAATTTAAGCTATGTCTACATTGTATCGGATCGGTTTTTGCTTCGTTCGCGAAACGTTACGGACAGCTTCCGCCACCGCCCTCTATTCCTTCGTCTTTTCCGATATATATTGACCAAAAACAAAAATATTGCAGACGTCATTTGAAAGAGTGAGCAAGCTATATCCGTAAATAAGGTTAGAATAGCGAGTTTTTGTTTGCTAGACGCCATCTTGAATCATCATTCGATTAAATAACAGCGTTGCAAAAACCAATCCGGCACAACACGCACCAGTTGGAAGGGCGGAGCGCCGCACAATTCTTGAAAATGGCTGAAGGTTGGTTATACCCATGATAAATCTACACCTACACTATCATATAAGCCAAGATCCGACCCTACCTTTCGCAGATCGAGGAAATGTCGAAGTTCTGGATGTAAAGTCAATAAGATCATCAGTGGTTGTGTCAACAGAGCTCACTGAACTGGTCGCTGGTGAGCTGGCTTGACTGCTACCCGAACCCATGCCACTATCAACCTCATCGATCTCACGGCGTGTTGACGCTGAACTGTAAGCTCGCCTTGTGTTGGGTTTAGGATCACCGCTAAAAATAACACAAGCGTTAACCATGTCGTCATATTTACATACCTCCCGACGAGGGGTCTTCGGGGCGGGGGTGCTTATAATCCTTACTTGCAGCTGAGAGCAAGGCTAAATTGCGAAGGACACAGCTCAGCGTGATCGAGTGGGAGGCTTTCTAGGGGCACCTCTGGCAGCCACCTTACGACTCATGCCTGATCAGGGAACAGAGCTATGATGGAAGGGTTAGTTTAGGGCTAATCCCAGCTTAGAGGCTAATCCCAACCAACCCTGTCAACATTCCCTGTGGGAGGAACCCAGAGTACCCGGAGAAAACCCACGACTTTCGGCAGAGCGTTGACTGGCTCTTTTCGCATGGATATCATAACGTCCACAACGGGAATCGAACCCACGATATCAGAGGTGAAAGACACGTGCTCTGACGATTGCGCCACCGAAGCCCCATAATCAAAGTTCTGCTTGTATTTTCAGGTAGTTGTGTCTCTTTCAATCCGCAGCAATCATATTTATGGCCGGCTGTTCACATGATCCTGGCTGGCTTGGTAAACCGGGCTGGCCCAGTTTGTCGAGCCAATTTGTCATTTGCTTCAAATGAGGTGGGTTAGCCCGGTACGAGATCTCCGCGCGACTTTGCTTGGTTTCCATATAATTATTTACTTGTTTTGACCTTTATAAGTTTTTTAGGTGCAATAAAGTATGCGCCGGGCAAGTATACGATCTCCAGCCCGTTTTGCCAGGCAATTTCATTATCATAAACCGGCTCATCTCGCCACTTGCCTGCAAGGACAATGTTCTGGGAAAGCAGGTTGCAGTAGAGTCAAAGGCTCGAACTGGTGGAAACGGTGTAGGGGAATTCTTAGAATCCAACCATTTTTTTTAAAACAAAGTTTGCTTATTTGATGGTCAGAGAGGGAACTCCCTAAAGGACAAAAATACTAATTGAATTTGGTAAGGTCCAGATTTGGATATTTTAAGTAAATGGCAAAACCAGGGGCTCATCCCCAAATAAACAATTTTCCGAATGGTCGGACGACCAAACAGTATCGAGGTTCAGACTTGACTTCCACTCCGGCTAACGCTACCTCTCACTGGCTTAGTACGCATCTGACTGGCTTAGTACGCATCTGACTGGTTAATCGGACATATCAGACACACCTGATTGGTTAATGGTCCCTTATCAGATGTCAAATCTGAACCCGATTGGTTAATGGTTCCTTAGTGAAAGTCAAATCTAAACCTCTCCAGTACAGCACTCACCTCAGATTGATCAAATCATCGCAAGAGCCTTGTTTTTTCTGATCATTCACTTTCTCAATTTTCTCCACATTGAAAGACCCCGTAGTGTTATTTCTTTCCGGGGTTGGAGAACCGTTCCTACTACGAGATGCTGATCTCTTGATATCTGGCGGACTATTATCGTGCGTCGGAGAATTGTTCCTACTACGAGATAACGCTCTCTTGGTATCTGATGTACCTGTATTTTGTTCACGGGTAGGCGAACTGTTCCTACTACGAGAAAGTGCCCTCTTGATATCCGACCCAAAACCCCGTAGTCTCTTCATCGACCGACCTCTCTTTTTCCGATCTGGCGTCGACACCTCTTCGTCCTTTTCCGAACCTCGATCTGAGGCAACAGAATGACTGCTGGAACTGGACACTAAGCCGTCTACGACATCGCCACTAGACTTCCGTTCGTGCAGCACGGACAACGTGCTCCTGCTACGTTCATTTGTTTTCTCACTTGTGAAGCTCGTTCGTGATCTGTTGTTGTCCTGACTGGCAAGCAAAGTTTTGGTATCAACAACTTTTACTTCAGAGGGAGCGGTCTTTGTGTTCACAGGACGACCGTGAGGGTTGACGTATAACAAGAGCAAAGGTTGGTAGTGATTTTGACAACATTTCTTTCGAATTGTCTCCCATTCTGAACCGCACTAAATAAATTGACAACATAAAGATTGGAATTTGCATGTTTTACCAAATGACAGGGTCTTATAGTTAGGATTTTGGGAGTGTTTCTAAATTTCAGACCGTGTACAGTACATGCCAATTATTCAGAATACCAAATGCACCGCATCATCTCAGCCATACACCTTACACATTGGCATCACCTAGTTATTACTCAAATTATTGTATCTCATTTTGCCTCTAATGTGTTTTTGCTTGAACATGAAAAATAGCACGCCCGCCTCCCTGCACTACCTCTGGCCAGGGCTAGGGGGAGGGTGCGCACCATCCGTGGTTTTCCTCTACAAACTAACAAATTACCTTGCGAACCCTGGCGTCATCAAAGTAAATCCAAGTCATCAATTTATTACTGTAGAAGAATGTGGAGTAATGTTTGCCGTAGTAAGTAACGACGCCAGCCAACAGCAACTCCACCTTCCTTGCTGTATCGTCAACCACACGAGGAAATACCTATACAAAATCGAAGGCAAAAAATTAAATAGCCGGGCCGCGCACGATGCGATTTTAGTCGATCTTAGTATATAGGTATGTTATTTTGCTTTCTATATAAGCTTCAATTCAATGTAAAATTCAACCTTGGACGCTTCATCAAATGTACATTTCACCTTATAATATATGCTGTTTCAATTGTTTGGCTGCTTTTGCCGATTAATTATTTAACTTGGTCTTTTCATTAGTTGCAACGAAATCAGTTCAAATCATATACAGTTATATACATATACGCTTTTGGAAATAATTTTGCTTTTTTTGAATTCTATAAGCTTTTTACATAATTATAGAGGTTAAGATTGAAGTATAGTTTACGGCAGAACGTCAATCGCAAATTTTGAATCGCATTTGAAGGCAAGTTGTACACGTTTTCGACAGCTACTGTAAGTCATTCATGCTTCAACCTTGATGCACAATTTGCTTTATTTTCAGAACAGCTAACACAAGCCTAACACAGTGTTCACCTCAAAATACAAATAGAAGTTTGCTATTTGCGGTTAGCGGTCTGCCGTGAACGTCATATGAATCTAAAATGAACCTCTGAAAATAATGAACCACTCAAATAAACCCGTCAAAATAGTGAACCACTCAAAATAATGAACCCCTCAAAATAATGAACCTCTCAAATAGACCCCTCAAAACAATGAACCTCGAAAAATAACGAACCTCGTCAACCTGTCTGATGAAATGAGCGAAGCAAAATTATACGAAATTCAGCGAAAATTACCAAATCATGTGGTCACAGACTAAATAATAGTTGGTGAGATAATCGATAAAAATCGGAACACATTGCACACGAAATATCGAAACAATCTGAGCTTGTCCGATTAAAATCGGCCGACCAAAATCGCTTGAAAATGAGACCGTACTCGCAGATTTCATTAATTTTAATCGACCTGGCTTTACAGTATACTTGCATGTATTTTAAAAAATTGCGCATTACACTGTACACAGTAGGTATTAGAATTCGAACGGACAATGTGAATAAATACCGAAGGAAAAATAACCAGAACGGAAAAGCCTGCCCGAAAAATAATCCGTGCATGTACAGTATAAACGTTTGCAATTGTAACACAAAATACTGAAATTTCGACAGCCGAATGTGACATCGGTCACTCTTCACACACACCCTATCATTTTCTTGAAGAAACATTCAAAAGTGTAAACAAGTCGTATACCGGGTGGCGCAAAAAATGTTCCACCTCTTTGACTTACTGTAATTAAAAAACTAAAGAAGCCATCTTATTCAAACGAAGTTTATTGAACGCAGTAATGTCTAACTTAAATTTTGATGTATGCCTTAAATATTTCTATAGAATATTAGCCGAGATATAGGCGTTTAAACTCAAGGTAGCATTTTTGGAAGAAACAAAAAATGGCCATTTTATTAGCATAATGCAAATTAATAGATCACTTTAGACCATTTTTCTCTTCTTCCAAAAACGCTACCTTGAGTGTAAACGCCTATATCTCGCCTAAATTTTATAGAAATGTGCAAGGCATACATCAAAATATAAGTGAGGCATTACTGCGTTCAATAAACTTTATTTGAGTAAGACGGCTTCTTTGTTTTTTAATTACAATAAGTCGAAGAGGGGGAATAATTCTTGCGCCACCCGGTACAGTACAAAAAATAATCGTTCGTATTAAGAAAAAGTGAACTTACTTCAGGTAAGCGAAGAACAGGATCTATGCAATCCAACAGTTGGGTGATCTGTGTAACGTCTGGACATTCGGAATCCCAGATCAAACCAATGCACACTGCGTGAAAAAAACAAGAACTTCGTTCATGTTTTCGTATACTTATACTTAGGCTTAGGCTCAAGCTTTCAGGGTGACAAAATTTGCCCTCCAAAAAAATACCGTATACATGGGTAATTCCATGCATGCATGGTGACTCATGTTACATTCTGAACCAAACTATCAGAGTAATTTTGATCTGGTGTAATAACTAATATATTTTTTTCTGTCACATTTTTGCATGCAGGTACAAATAATCATGGTAAGCTATTGATTCACAGTAAAAATTAAATATTTGATTATAACATGATAAGATTGTTGGCCTTAAATTGGTGTGCAACTCATGTTACGATAAAGTGACACGAGGTAACACAAACCTATAACTACTTTGAATTTCTTCGGGAACCATACGAAGAAGAAACATACAATGTCTATCAAGTAACGGACTATAATTATGACGTTAGGCAAACTATACCATGCTACACAAAGAAGGATTGCTACATAATATACGTGACTCATGTTACATATAAAGTACATCTTAATATTTCAGTTCAGAATTGTTTCCAATAGCTTCTGAAAATTCTTCACAACTTTTTGTTTCAAAAAATGTCATCACTGCCATGGAATTACCCAGATGTAAATTTAGAAACTTATTTTCGTGGATTGCATGGTCAAAAAACATGGGACTTGAAACAAATTGTCATATATTCATAATTCAGCATATTCCTACTGTAGTTCCCAGAAATTTTTTCTACCCCTGGCTTCCCAAGTTGTCTTTCGCAGAAAATAAAGGACTCATGTAGCTTCTTCTTTTTAACATGCATAATATATTGTATATTGGATGACAAGCATGGCAGACGCTTCTAGATCAACAGCTGTACAAAAGTTGTAATAGGAAAATGAGTGCATTTATTATTAATGAAACAACATACCGACATCTGGACAGTTTAACAGTGACTGCTGAACGCTGATCTTTCTTTCACAATTTTTAGCCTAACAAGAAATCAAGCAATTAAAATAATTTAATGAGGACTTAACTTCGACTTAAAAGATCCAGCCAGGTATGGTAATGGGAGTGCTTATCGACCTTTGGTCATGCATGATTCAGCTGCAATCATTGACTGTAAGGCATTAGTTTCTGACTGGACAATTTCACCATCATATTATACTATGTAATTTTGTCTTTGTTTTTGTGATTGCCAGTTTCGAAATCAACAAAATGGATTTGATAAGAAAATTGGCACTTCTCTTGCACCCCCAAGGCTACAGGAGGTGATGTAGGCACTCCTGCACAACACACCCTCCCCCGCCAGTAACTATTGTACTACCCTTTGCGAGCAGGGGGAAAAAAGCCGTTTTCCACCTCAACCGTATCGATAACGTATACGAATTGTAGCATTTTGTGTTGTGTCCACTCTAGTGCTCAGAAATTCGCTTCGGCTGTAACGGTCTTAAGCAATACTAGATAAATGAACACAATTTCTCGTTTCTCATACTAAGTTAAATAAGTTTTGTTATCACTACGTTCATGTTATTCATATACTCACTGGACATGTGCGAAGATCTCCTTGATTGACAGCCCTTTTTAACAATTGACCAAACATGTCCTCGTTTAATCCTCTAAGTTTGCTGGATAAGACGTCTGCTTCGTGACTAAACAAAACATGATTATATAGGTACGTAAGAGATTAAGTTTAAGTATAGTAAAAAAATAAATGAATGTTTCTTTTGTAAACATCGTTTCATAATTATAAAGTATACCAATGACGAAACATGGAAATAAGGCCATTGGGTCAAAAGTAAACAATTGCCCTTTAAAGAGAGAATTTTCTAGAAGTACTGTATAAACATAGTATACATATGTGTATAACTACATACAAGTTAATTTTGCATTCAGTTCATGTGGCAAAAAGGTAGCGCTTTTCTTGCGATAATAACTCCTAGTAATATAAGTAATTATTAGCGGGGGGTGCAATCACCCCAGCTGTTCAGCTAAACTCAATCTTCTCTGCAAAAACGGACCCAAGAGAAAATCCTGGAAAAAGGAAAAAAGGAAAATAAAAATTTAACTCAGACACACAACTCACCATAATGCAGAAACAGACACGTAATGAACCAACTGAGAGAATGGCAATGGCTCAGAGGTTGCTCCACAGCTACAAATACTCTAAATAAATACAATATGTTCAGAAATAAAGTAAAAATAGATTGATGCGAGCAGAATACTGTGTGGGGAAATATCCTATAATATTAGACAGGTTAAGATTGCCAGATTGGCGTTTTAATTTACGGCAGATCGCTAATCGCGAACGGGAAACTGCAAGTCCTATATAAGTCAACTGTTAGCTGTTCGATGTTTGGACAATTTTTGAACCAAAATTGAAACATGAATTAGCTAAAAACTTGTCGAAACCTTCGAAAACTTGTAGAACCGTAAACGTTTATCTGAAGCCCATTTTCCACAAGCGAATTTGCTCGCGCGGACAGTAAAAGAGTAGGAACTGATTTCGCTGACCAATCACATTGCTAAGATTTGTTTTTCGCTTCGCGCGAACAAATTCGCTTACCGGTAGTGGAAAATGGGCTTAATACAACACATTTCATGGCTGTAGATTTTATTTTTGTAGAGTGAACCAATCTTCGAATAAGGTTTAGTTCTATGAGGGCGCATGCCATTACCTCCAGGTCTATGCCATTAGAGAGCATAAGAAAGTGACCGGCGTTTTTGATTCACCGCGAATGCCGCCCGGAAGTAAAACAAGCCGTTGTAGAACTGGTTGTCTGAAATCACGAACGTGAAACTACATCGACTTCCGTTCTTGTTTTCAAGCACTGCTGACGCCATAGTTAACGGTCAAATTATGTAGCTACGCCTGACATACGTGTTGTCAATAAACTAGAGAGGTTTAGCAAAGACGACGCGACGTCAAAGACGACGCGAAAATGGCGTGATATGTCCATCTATGGATGTGCCCATGCCATTTTCACGTCGCGTCTTTGCTAAACCTCTCTATTTTCTAAGTCCAGGGAACGGTTGTTCGTAGCTGGATTAGCGCTAACCCTCGGTTGTAAAATTTAACCTAGTGTTTTAGTTGATGTATTTCTCCACGTCTGTTTATTTCGAAACAGCTGCTGATCCAGACAAGATTTCCGAAGAAATATTTCCAAATTTATAGAAGACTGTTGGAAAGTTTGCTTTGAATTTTAGGTTAACCTAGGCAAAAAAAAAAATATGTGGGTTTCCGGTTTCCCGACCCTACCTAGCTTTTGGACGTCGAAATCCCGACCCTAAACTTTTTTATTGGATCATGCTTGTAAGTGTTCCACTTAGAGGAAAAAGTTTGTGGAAAATTGAAATTTGAGGCAATATTAGGGAAATTTATCTTTGGATGTGGAAGCACTGACTAAACAAAATGGCGTCCGCTTGTTCGGAAAATTAAAAAAAAAAGTTTAAAAGAAAAGTTAAAACCGACCTACCCTACCTAAGTTTTTAAAAGAAGAAACCGGAAACCCACATTTTTTTTTTTTTTGCCCTAGGGTTATTAAAGCTAATCGACTTTTGAACAACCGGTCCCAAGCTTACATAACTTGCTCGACATGAGTTTTGAATTTAAATATGTTTGATGCGAAACCAGAATTATTCATATTGAGTATAGACGTTCTCTGGTGAAAATATTTATTTTTCACAAGCTTTCGAAAGCTTGTGAAAAATAAATATTTTAACCAGAGAACGTCTATGCTCAATATGAGTTTTGAAGTTGTATACCAGTAACTCGAAGTTTAGATAGCTAGCTGCACAAAATTTTGAAGCTATTAGCCAGTAACCCCAGGCTTAGATACTGCATGTATACCGTATGGCTAGATGCACAAAAGTAGTTAGCTAGAAAGCTTCACAAGATTTTTGGAGTTGTTATAGATAGTAAATCTACAGTACACTACATGTAGGTTTACGAAAGTAGCTCCACTGCCTTCAGACTATTTTTCTAATCCCAAATTTAGGTCCAGAAGACGCTAAAAAATTATGCAACTTAACAAATTAAATATCTTAATCAATACATTAATATATACAGTACCTGTTCCATAATTTCCATTGCAAACTTCCGGTGTGAAATACAATGTTGAGCACTACATATTTCATCTTTCTCGTTCATTGCAAAATGGAAATGTAGTCGATTTAATATGTTCTCCTAAGTGCAAAAATGGAAGAGTTTAACTTATAGTTTCTTCTAAGGACTCTGTGACGTGTATTTTCTTAGCAGGAATCATTACGTCCGTCCTTTGATAAATAATAATAGGTGAACTGGTCAACATGCCAACAGAGCATGATTGCCAACAGAGCATGATTGCCAACAGAGCAAGAAATAAATTGTGCACGACACTGCTTCGTTATTAACATGTTGACCAGATCTTGATAAAATAGTTTGCTTCCTGGAGTCCAGGCCTTTCCTAACAAATTTCAACCTTTGCTTTTGGCAAAACCAAAAGCAATTATGTATGGTATAGTGACCCAAGTCTAGGGTTGGGCGATATTTCGATATTTTGATTTATCGCGATATTTTCAATCGCGATTATCGTATCGAAGGTAGAAACTTGAGCAACGATATATCGAAATTATCGTCATGCTCGTTGACTATCGTGATATTGCTTCGCATGTGTATATAGCTTTTATAAAATCCTAAAAAATTCCTTCAATTTCTAGAAAATATAGTTTTTAAAAGAATTAAAACTATTTCCTGAATTAAAAAGCTAAATATTTATGTATTAATCCGCTGAACAATGAAATTGCCTGCTTTGCTTGCGCCTGTGTGCCCCACGGCATTTGTGCCTGCATGCGGAGACACACTAGACACTGCATAGACAGTTCAGGTTTATGAACAGTAAATATTAGACAAGAAAAAGCCTTCTTATTACTTTAATTTGTTGTTTTACTTGTCATTGTTTTTATTGCGTTTATCTCGATATTATTGAATATCGCGATAATTTCCTCCACAATAATCGTGAGATGATTTTTTTAATATCGCCCAACCCTACCCAAGTCACCAAGTTCTGTTTCTGGCAGCAAAATCCAAACATAAAAATTTCCTGTGTCAGTCAAATATAAAACATCCTGCATGTGGTAGATTTCAGAGAATGTATGGTGCCTCACATTGTGATAAAAAATCAATATCAACTTGAAGACAATATCAACTTGCAAAATGCTTTTGAAAGTAAATTATATGGCATTCCAGTATATAAGATGACAAAAATTTCCTGTAAGATGTAAGAAAATTTCCTGCAAAGATATTTTGCGAAACATTTCCTGGCAGTGGTGCTGCTGGACATTTTCCAGCCCTGCTGCCACACATTATTTACTTACAAGACATTCTGCAGCATCATCCATATCTTGCATCTGAAACCTCTGCTGATCCTTGAAAGACAGAGATAAAATAATGAAGTCATAACAGCAGTTATGTAAATAATTAAGAGGCAATTTTTTTCAATGTCACATATTTGCAATGAAAAGTGTTCAAAACCTAAAATCTTTTTGGCGTTCCTCTCAAAATTACTTTGTTTTAGTTTTATTCTCTAGTTTATAGAGTTAGCTACAGTACCTTTTTAAATACATCTGCCGGTTGAGAAACATAAAATAATATTAGCAATTGGCAATTATCAATGCTTTAAAATTGACTCCATATTTACAGTCATATAAGCAAAACTTACTGGACATCAGACATCATTTTCTCTTTGGCGTATCATCTAAAATCTCTTCATTTTAGCATTATTTTACAGATAAAGCACTAAACACACTTTTTAAGTTTGTTTGCCAATTGAGAAACGTATCGAAAAATAAAAATTTTGAATTTAGTCATAACCTCAAGTGATATATTATACGCATTAGTTTTGAAAGCGTGTTACGTAACATACAAAAAAATCTCCTCTTAAATGAACAAGCTTTCAATAGTAGGGATGCAACTACTGTACACCTGAAATATGTTATACACACTTTAAAAATTATATGCAGTAACATATGTTACATTGGAAAATTTTGTTAAAAAATCGACATGAATGATGTCACCTTTACTTATCTATTATAATAAATGCAGTTAAAACCAGTGCTTTGTTACGTTTTGTCACTCTGAGGTCAGCGAAATAATCTCTTCCACATACATACCACTCTCATGGGTTGCAGTTCCCTGCAAACCAGCCATGGGCCCCCACACCAGGCCCAAGCACCTGTCACACTGACTGGGTCGATCAGTGGAAAAAATATATGTATACCAACTTTCCACTTAATTAACAAGCACCCAAGCCTAGAAGGATTTCCAAACAAATCAATGCATGCCTGTTTGTTTTTGCATGCTCAAACACTAGCAGCCGCTGACCCACGGTTGCCACCGTAATAACTGACACAATAACTGTGCTCTTTGTTGTTAAATTAGTTAATTAAATGGCATTTACTAACATTAACCCTACTCCAAACACCAACTCTAACCCTAACTCTAACCTAACCCTACTCCAAATTTGTTTCTAAACCAATCTTGAAGAAAAAAGTTTTGACAAGATGTCATTCTGAGCAATCTGAGGTCAGCAAAATAGTTGATGCCTATGTTTGTCTGGGGGCTGGCTTTGGAAACCCAGGCCTGGATGACCAAGGCACCCATTATCAACAAGCGATGCAATTGTTAATTTTTGATATTTTTACTAAAACTACAGTAGATATTAAATGATTGTGTCAAAAACTACAGTTCAATGGAAAGAGCATTTTCATGAATTAAGATGTGCATCAACCATCACTGCTTGCATGCATATGTATCCAACCTTTCCAGTCCAAAAAATCCAAATACAGTGGTGTATTTCACTAATACAGTATATAATAATTCATATAATGTAGACACTACTCATTACAAGTTACAATAATATAGAGTTGGTAAAGAGTATTTCATTAATACAGTATATAAAAATTCATATAATGTAGACACTACTCGTTACAAGTTACAATATAGAGTTGGTAGAGATTATTATATATACTGTATAATATTATACATAAGACTAGTAATTATTACGGTAAATACCTTAAATGTTACAGCCAATGCCTGTCTAAGGGCATCTGGTGGTAAAGCTGCCTCATCGCTATACTGAATCTGGGTAAAAATAACCTAAAACAATGAAAATGAAATTTATCAATTTTATGATGGAAAATAACATAAGACATTTTAGCTGAAATGACATTTATTAGTTACAGCACTGAGCAGGAATCTGAAAGACTTAAGTCCCTTTTGTGTTAGATTCATTGGAATATACCAGATTTTTGCTTTAATATCATACAATTAGTATTTCTTGAAATACTTATTCATCTAGCTTTCCATGAATGGTATTCAGAGACTAACTATTTTTGAAACAATATACAGTACATGTACAAGACTTAGTACAAGTCATGTACTGTATATTGCTCATTAAACCTTTCTCTAGGATTTTCAGGGTGAACTGGAACCAATTTTTAGGATACATACAATATACCGTATGTTAATTACTTGTTGCCTAATGTCAAACAGCCATAATTTTACAGTCGTGAATGAAGATGAAACCATATAAAGTGCATTGTTTCAGCCCTCGCAATTTTGATAAATCTTCGGCGGCAAAAATTGCTGCCGATATTTCGAAGTTCGACGGCAATTCGGCTGCAAATTTTTTGTCACTATAAATTGACACTTTGACAGAGAACATAAATTATTTTATATTTAGTATTCTCTTGACTCTGCTAATTAAACGTGTTTGATATTCAAGGAAACCTTGTTTCACACACAATAACATTGAGACCAGCTATCAATCTTTTAGTTTTAATTTTGTTACGCTACGGACATTGTTCTAAAATTGTATGTATGTTTAAACTTGAAGTTACATGAAGTATGTCAGAACTTTCAATGTATTTTAAAATAAGCCACAAAAATAAAAGTGTTCACAAAACAATAGCTCACTTTCCCAACTTATTTTCTAATCATATGTTCATACTTGGAAGAATTAATCGAATTGAAAAGACAGTGAAGTATCATCAGTGACACAAAAATTCGTAGGCGGCAAAAAATTGCCGCCGATAATTTAATCTTCGGCGGCAATTGCCTTTTGCCGCCGAAAATTGCAAGGACTGTTGTTTAGAGTTTTTTCACTCATTGGTAGGCAGATTTCCCAACAGACTATAGGGGATGCGAGGTACCTACGATTAGGGTACCTATTTGCAGTGGTTTTGGTTTTATATTACATAAAATGGGTGCACCGGATTTGGGGATAAATTGGGATAATTCAGTATTCAAAAACCGGTAATGGGGATAAATTGGGATAATTCAGTATTCAAAATGGCAGTTTATGTTTTTTACTATTTTTAGTTAGTGTCAGTTTAGATTTTTTATTGTGTTTAAACCTTTTTTAAATATCTTCTTGTTAATAACTTAATATTTTATAATAATATTAAGTATTTTTTAAACTTTAAAGCTGCCAAATTGATGGTTTATCCCATTCTTGGTGAATATTTTAAGGTGAAAACAGAAATTTAAGAAGGTGAAAATAGAAAATCCGGCCGGATGCGGGATACCGGAAAATTCGTTAAATCCGGCCGGAATTCTGGCCGGATTTGAAATCCGGTGCACCCCTACACTGTACATGTATGTTAAAAGGATGAGCATGAAATCGTTACAATTAATACATCACCTTGAGAGCACAGAAGATGCAAGATTCGCCAACACAAAAATGTCCTGAGATTTCTCTGAAACTTCGACGAAATACATCCAGATGCCACAAAACCTAGAAATATCACAATCATCACATAATCCAGTTAGAAATTTGTACCACATGAAAAACTAAATACAATAAATCATTACTTGTTTGATTCATGCATTCAAATCTTTACTGGTTCACTTTCACCCCTATACTACCCGCATCCCGCAAAAAAGTCAAAATTGAGATTGGCAAAAAACAATGCGGACCTACATCTGATACAGGTTGGCACCAGAAGTTTTATTTTTCCAAGTTTTGAAGTAAAAAGAAGTGCAAATATACCCAAACCAAAACAGTGAGTTACATTTTAATGTAGGGTTAGCACTAATCCGGCATTGAAAACTAACCCCTGACAAGTAAAATCATCTGACATTAGACAGAGTATGAATGTATGAAATTGCAGACACAAATTAATATCAGCACAATTTGGAAAAGTCACTTGAATCTTGACAATAAATTTCCGAATCCCATGGTGATCGAAACCCAACACTCGATTACACATTTCCAGTTCACTTTTTATACATTTAATACTCCAGTTCTCCGTATAACACACAAGCCTCTAGTCATGGACTAGGGTACATTTTTATTTACATTGGACAAAGTTAGACAAAGTTACAGTAATTACTGTAGGTCACTTGGGTCGGACAAACAATAAAGCTCGGTTTTTCTTGGACAGACAGAATGTCCAGCGGCTTTCTCTCTACTGTACGCTGTAAATTTCACAAATGGGTCGGACAACGTCCGTGACCGACCGATATTTTAAGGCCTGAACGACACCAACCCTGTAATGGTTTGTGTTCTATTCTGTTGTTGGTAACTCTCCAAGGCAATTCCACATAAGGCAACTTTAAACGGGGGAGGAGAGTTTCACATGTTAATTAACTTGGACAATTAATTTAAAAAATAACCTTTCAATTCCAGTGTCCAACCATTTTACACATCTGTCTAACACCGATACATTTTTTCAATCGATTGAAGTTATCAAAGTTTTTCAAGTAACTAATACAATTTATAACTGGTGTATCAATTGCTACTCCAATTGTGACAAATTATATCCAAAAAATGTATGCTATAATTACTTGTATTGTAATATCAATATAAGTTCATTTACACATGTATGGACAATTGTGTGACAATTCTTCTCAGTATTATACATCTCAGTTGTCACAGATTTTCATAATGCATACTGAATGCCACACGCTTAACTTTTTAACACATTCCAAACACCATACAAACGGTTTATAAAAAATTGCCAAGTAATTTGTAGCAATTAATGAAACGTTTACGATATAACTTCATGACACATGTACCTACAATATACTGCCTTAACCCTCTCAAAATATAAGCACGATTTCCGCCACAACAGCCAAGAAACTCAAAGTTAGTAAAATACACCGTGTCTCAACTTTATAAGTAAGGAAATCGGTACAATATAGTCATTTCAAGTCAGGTTATTTTGATGGTCTGCTATCTTAAGCACAAAATTATTGCCTTGTGTTTTAAACAATTTAAATAATTTCATAGTATAAGTGCTTAGTAATTGTTCTTCGATATTGGACCGTTTCTGGTTTTGTCAGCCAAAATTTTGTACAACAATCGTTTATTTTGAAAATTTAGTACGAATTATCGCGAAAATAATTTTACAAAAATCTTGAAATTCGCGCATGTTGCGATGCTGTTAACAGTCACTTCGCCTGAAGACATGTTTATTGACATCTGGGGCGTCTAAATCGTTTCTAGAGCATCACGAAATCATCTTTCCAAACTGCCTAAGTAAACAGTCGAAATTTGAGCCCTAAAACGCCATGTATATGAGATAAAAGTCAAGACAAAATTTCAGGATTTTAATTGTTGATAACAAGATTTAAAATGTAATGAAAATCTTACTTGGACTGCCGAGTTCAAAAAGCAGTTATTCTCCCCGGGATTGTTGAGAAGTCCTTTTGTATACGCGACAGAAGCCGTCCTTGTTAATCTGTCACCTCGATTCATGATTCTCCGAGTAATTTGTTAAGCAGGCCGTGCCGTATTTTAAGCCATACGATACACTAAACCATTGACAGTTCCGACATATATCTCGACTTTAAAGCAATCGTTCACACATAAAACACGTCTGAACCGCACACGAGGACTCCTCTATCCTCTACCATATGTTGTTGTATTGTTCGTGCAATTTTCAACACAGGAAATCAACCCTTTTCCACTCCGCTGCGTATAAAATGTTTTGCTGTCCTTCGTTACAAAAGTAGGAATCCATGTTTTGAACGTGAGAAGTATCAAATTACCCACAATGCACGGTGACGTCGTATGATTATGACGTCATTCCGGGTAAACAATTTGTGTACATAATCGCCCTTATATGTCAAGAACGGGAATTTTGAATACAAAAGTGCACGTATAAAATATTAAAATTAGTCACAAGAAGTGGTTATATATCATAGCTGGATATAGTAAGCATTGTGTCGCGTGCTAACAGGAAATGGAGTTTAGGCCTTCTCAAATAGGAAAGGCCCCCTCCAATGCAAAATTAGAATAATGAGCCCATATTAAACCGTAAATAAATTAATAAAACCATAATTGTACGTGCTGTATTGTACTGGCGTTTCATCAATGAACAATTCCAATTTAATGTAATATAAAGATAAACCTACAAATGTTCACAGATCACCACGTCAATTTCACAGACAGTTATTACGGGCCACTTCAAGTCGATCAAATTGACGTTTTAAGTGTCGCAGTAAATTGACAGTTCTAAGTGCCGCAGTTTTAGTGTACCATATTTGTGTAATTGTTCTTTTACAATACCGACGAATATACGATAATCATTGGCAAGAATCGTTGCCAGATTTTCAAACATTGATCTCAATTCGTCGTGAGATTGAAAGACCTTGTCGTGCGGCTGTAAGAAAGCAGAAAGCATCAAACATCGTCAGTGACAGTGTGGGCACAGAGTAGAGACATACAGAGACGAAAACAGAGACGTGACTAGTGTACCCACTTTTTTGTGCGCATGCTCGGCAAGTTACTAGATGCATGCATCTGATTGGATGACGACCTGATGACGACTCACTTTAAACTTGCTGAGCACGCGCAGTTGATCAATTTTTGCCCGGTCGCCTGAAAAAAGTGGGTATATGAAAACGTAAGCTTCCGCAGTGTTTACAACGGTCAGTTACGTCTCTATATGTCTCTACTCTGTGGTGTGGGACAGCTGGGGGGAGGGCGGTTCCGCGGCCCTTTTGGGTGCAGGGGTTAAAAGTGAAAAAAGTGCCCTTTTTTCTGCGGTGCCCGTTTAAATTTTAAAGAACGAAAAAACTATGTCTTCAACGAACGCCTTCTTGCTGGAAAAAAATGTGGCCTTTTTGCAGTTGTAAAGAGTCTGTGAAGGTCATTTCCGACTTTATAGAGATTCCGTATTTTAAAAAAATTTCGTTCAGCTCGTGAGCGACATATTGTATACAATATAGCTACAATTATTGCCTATATGGCCGGCTATGTTAATTGTGGCCACGATCGTGTTGGGAAGTACTATACATATTGAACTACCTAAATAACATAAATCATAATAAACTTCTTGTGCTAACTAGACGGGCCAGTAATAATATGACGGGGCAAGTTCTTTTTATTATCAGAAATTGTCAATGTGATAGCAAAACTATTGCCAAATCAAATTCAATGTTGCCAGCGTCAAGGCATAGTTTCTTCCACGGAGTGGAGAAGAACAAGCGATAACAGTTTGAGCGAATCCAATTCCAGTTGGTTGTAATATTGATGCTATCTTGCGCTTTTCAGCCATCGAGGATGCTACTCATACTATATGACATGAGATGAACTTTCCGTTTCTCGACTATACTTCAATTCCTGACCATCGGAGCATGGGAAATAAACTGAGTACTGATATTGGGGTAGAAGATCCATGCTCAATATATACAACTCTTTGTGCGTAATTATAGATTTTCAGAGAATCATTTTAGACATCTTTCTTTTTCTATTTTATATGGATTTTTAAAGGATTTTGAGGGGTCTATCATTTTTGTTTTAATATTGATTTTGCGGCTTCTATATGGACTGGGGGATCTGTTGGTAATTTTAGAGAAATTTTTAGGGATTTTTTTAGATCTAGACCCCGTTTACACTAGAGCAGTTTTCGGATTCGTCACGCGAAACCGGAACGTTTTCAACTATACCGGCTTCATGTCGCCGTTTACACACGCAGCGACGAATTGGAGAGTAAACTCTTCTCGGTTTCGTGCCGTGTCCGGAAACTTTGAATCCGGAAAAGTTTGTGGGAACTTCGCTCGGGGAACTTAGTATCTGGAAACATTTGAATCCGGAGAAAACGCTCGTGTAAACGGCTTTCCATAAAGAATCTGAGTGTATGTTCTTCAAATTTATTGCTATTAAATTTAACCGCCAAACAGGTGAGTAGTGACTAGTGTAAATGCCTCACAAATCCGTATACTCAGAACAACAAGGAATCCGCGATACTTTTACAAATCCGGAAACTTTTGCTCTAGTGTAAACGTAGCTTAGAGGTGTACGTGAGATTCACTATAGTTCTCGCCTCGGCACATGATATGTGTCAGAACTGCTCGAAAGTCGAAAGAATCGCTCGAAACATCGCCATCGACCTCTGTTATCAATGTTATCAACAAGAATCGCTCGAAACATCGCCATCAACGTGTTATCAATACTATTAACACAAACCACGGCACTCCCCAACGTTTGAGATACTATACGTTTGTTGTTTCAATGACGTCAAAGCCTCATCTCATGATCACAATAGAGAACTTACGGTTAACGTTTACGCGTTACGACGGACGTTTACGCGTTACGACAGACCACTAACGCCGGAAAACTTTAAATCACGTATTTGGCGGTCTCGGTTAGCTGTTCGATGTGAGGACAATTTGTACATTAAAATTGAAGCGTGAATTAGCTGCTTTAGCTGTTGCAGAAGGATGTAGAACTTGTACCTTCAAATATGATTTGAGTTTTCCCTTTGTGGTTAGACTGCATGGTTAGCGGTCTGCCGCAAACGTCAATAAAGTGCTATATATAAAATCAGTCATGCGACACAAATACAGTAATAGGCCTAGAGACCTTACGATTTTAGGACGGCAACGCGACGGCGACGGCCAAAACAAACTCCTTCAAACAAATGCATGCATGGTAGTAAAGATAGTTGAAGAGAGTTTTAGAAGTTGAAGACATGGGTTTTATGGTTGGGAAGAGTTCTGCTAAACCCAGTTTGAAGTTGCACTTGTTGCGGCTTGGAATGCAGTCGCGTTGTATCAAGACGTGGAAATCTGTGATTTGGCGTTGTAAACATAGCGAGGACAATGTCTAAATTATTCATAAATTGTAATTACTCAATTCTTTTAAATGATCTATTGTATTGGTAACCGTTGCCGTCGCGTTGCCGTTCTAAAATCGTAAGGTCTCTAATAATAAAGCTGCACTGGACCGTGGTATACGATTAGCATTTCTATAGCGCAAATTCACACGTGGATATCATCAAATGCGGTCAACATATCAAATGTTACGCTTACCTAAAAACAAACTTTAATAGCCTAGACTTTTTTTCTGTGTTGGTGTGATGTATATGATGCTTGTGATGTTACTCTGAGTGTATATCCACACCGGGCAAGCTTGAAAAATATGCCTGACCACGGCCGGAATTGAACCTACGACCTTTGGAATACTAGCCCAATGCTCTGCATGCCAACTGAGCTACGCGGTCAGGTTGGTTCGAGTATGTGTTATTTTGGAACTGAGTACAGTTCCTTCGATATCGATGTAATCTAGCAATCATGATTTTTTTATGATGCTTGTGATGTTACTCTGAGTGAACCTACGACCTTTGGGATACTAGCCCATATTCACCTGAGTACATTACACCAAGTCACCAACACAGAAAAAATTCATGATTACTAGATTACATCGATATCGAACTGGACAGTTCCGAAATATCACATACTCGAACCGACCTGACCGCGTAGCTCAGTTGGCACATTGGGCTAGCATTCCAAAGGTCGTACGTAGATTCAATTCCCACCGTGGCCAGGCATATTTTTCAAGCTTGTCTGGTGTGGATATACACTCAGAGTGACATCACAAGCATCATTAGCCTAGACTATTTCTTATCTTTACAACAATTGTGATATTACTTTCTTAAATTAATTGTGTTTACCTTAAACCATCCTGCATGTCAATTTCCCCTTTGCTTTGGTATATAGGACACCGGAGCACTTCAATGGCTCTTTTCATGCACACTGACGAGTCCGTGCGCAAGTCGCTTGACGACCAGGCCTGCTTGACGACCAGGCCTGCTTGACGACCAGGCCTGCTTGACGACCATGCCATCGGAGCCCCGTATATACCAGACATGGAATCGAGGATGCAAGCTGCGAAATTTGTTGAAACGATATAAACTATACTTTGAAAGATATTTCAAACAAAATTGTTGAATCAGTCAGAAAACGTTCGGTATTTTATATTTATTATAAGTTTGTTTTCAATTTTAAGAGTTATAACACACATAATTAATTAAAGTTGCTAGAATAGACTGACTGCATGCATAGATAGCTGCCTTGAATATTTATTGTCTTGAATATATTTATAGTTTTGCCTTCCCGGCGGTTTGTTTTTATCAAAGTATATCTTGTGAAACTTTACTCACTCTTGTCTCTTCTATATCTGTAAATAACATCACAGATTATCTGAAACTTCGCAATTTAACCGGCATGCAATGCGTGGCGCTATCTTTTTTGTCGTCAGGCGTCTGTTCCAATATTCACGGTATCGTTGATCAGGTATTAATTAAGAGGCACATCGGTGAAAGTCTTAGACTAAAAAAATCAAAATATTGAAATTCTTAGCAATAGAATTTTGTGTAAACATGTTTTATTTCTAGCATTTGCCAAGAGCAGCAAAAGATAAATTTTCCTAATTAAATTTTATTATATTCTGGAAAGTCTAACTTAAATTTTGAGATACGTACAGCACTAATAATGTCATTTAATATTACATGGATACATGCAAATGTTTGAATTTGGCGCACGCTTTAAAAATGAGTAAAAAAATCGAGAAACATGACTGATCAAATTTATATGAAAACAATTGCCATTTTGCACAAAAATTAACAATTTCAATGTTAGCATTTCAACTCAACTTTAATTTCGGGTTATGTCCTAGTATGATTGAGCCATTCGTGTTTCTTGGGAAGCGA